TTCATTCCTTCAGCGGATGTGATGATACCGTTGCCAGCGTCCAGGTTTCTTCTATCAGCAGCAGTCATTCCGCGGAAAACCCACTCGCCGTCAGGATCCGAGGCCTTGATGGCGTCGATTCTTTTTTGAACTTCAGGATCCATCGGTTTTTTTTGGGGCTGGAGCGGGATCAGTTGGAACAGCTTGCACAACTGCAGCGGTGAGCAAGAGCGAAGAAGACAAGCAAGATGACCAGACGAAGAGCTGGTTTGCGAGTGAGCACCATCGTTGATATATATTGAGAGGGCTTAACGCGGATGAGTGGATGAAGTTGGGGCTTTAAGCAAACTGAAATGGTGGTGCTATAGGTCGTTCTTGTATCAGCCGTTGCAACAAGAATTACAACGTCCGCGTCATTAGTTTAGCTTTGGCTTTGTGTCTTTGTGAGATTTCAAGCACCGACATATAGTGTAAAAGTCCGCGTTACAGGCTACCTATAACTTTAAACAGGGAACGTGAAGTCGTCCTTTTAAAACCACCTAGTCTAGGACTGCCCCTTCTCCACTCGTATCCTTCTTTTTCACGCTTAAATAATGGCTATGCGGGTGCTCGTCAACGTCGCAGACTCACCACTTTCGTGGTTGACGCCTTTCCGATGCGCTCCGCTGATGCGCTCTACAATTTGCTTAATAAACGAGGTGCTAAAATTAAGAATTGTCAGAGAGGAGAGACACATAAGCGCCAACTGAAGACGGCGTTCGTGTGTCTCTTACAAACAGTTACCGCAAAGCGCCATTTCTTAATCTCTTTCCCATCCTCCACCTCCATCCGCGATGATGCTCGTTCGCAGTCCCTCATGTGTGGTCCTCCTTCTCCTCTCACTCTTCCTTACGACCGCCGTTGCTGTAAAGGAAGAGGTCCCGTTGGATCCAGTTATCGCAGCAAAGATTGAGGAAATCAAGGCGAAAGAGCCAGATGGTGACTGGGTATTCCGAGGAATGACTCCTCATGATAGTAAGAGCCTCGACGCTGGCAACGGCATTCCGTCGTCGGCTAACGCGCCGGTCAAGAGATTCCCGCCACCATTGCCTGTCATCGACAATGTTTTGGATCATGTTGCTCGCAAGAAAGAGGGTCAACGGTCCGAATACATCTCCACTTCAACTGACCCCAAAGTTGCCCAAAAGTGGAACAACTTGAACCCGGACTCTAATCCTGGCATTGTCGCGGTGAGTCAAAGTGCATATTGTTTTGGTCAACCATCTAAATAACTATCCGTTCTCATCGATCCTTTTCACATTTTAGATCAACTTAAATAAGCTCTCTCCGGAACAGAGGGCTCAGGTCGCCGACATCAGCACGCCAGAAGGCCGAGAGGCGCAATATGGGCCAATGCCAACGGGCGCTGATGCAATGGCTCTCCTTCGTGAAGACCCTCAAACCAACGATGCTAGAGCTAGAATGAAGGCTCATGGTTTCACTGACGACAAGGAAGTTCTCATCAAGGGAGATATCCCTGCAGACGCTTGCACTCGTGTCATTAGGAGAGACCTGAACGGCGTCGTCACCTTGTATAGGAGGCAGTCATGTCCCATGCCGGACTTTTCCAAATCGGCGGCTAAGAAGGGGGAGGCGAAAGATGCGAAGAAGGCAAAGGCTGATGGTACCAAGAAGGACAAGAAGGCGGCAGCAAAGAGTACCAAAAAGGCTGCGAAGGCTTCCGCCAAATCCCCCAAAGGAAAACTTCCTACTGGTGCCAAAGCGAAGAAGGGGCCGATGAAGGCGCCAAAAGGAAAGGCACCTAAAAGCGCGATGAAGAAGGGAGCTAAAGCTGGCGACAAGAAGGCCGCGGGCAAAAAGGCCGTGAAGAATGCAAAAGCCAATGGTGCCAAGGGCAAGAAAGGACCCGTCAAGAAAGTAGTCGCAAAGAAACCCCAGGGCTCCGCGAAGAAAGCTGTTAAGAAGGGACCCGCGAAGAAATCTGCTGGCAAAACGACCAAAGCACCTGCCAAGAAAGCCGTGAAGGGGCCAAAAGCTACTACCAAGAAAGCCGTGAAAGGACCCAAGGCTACTGCCAAGAAAGCCGTGAAGGGGCCAAAAGCTACTACCAAAAAAGCCGTGAAAGGACCCAAGGCTAATACTGCCAAGAAAGCCGTAAAGGGACCGAAAGCTACTACCAAGAAAGCCGTGAAAGGACCCAAGACTAATACTGCCAAGAAAGCCGTGAAGGCTCCAAAGGCTACCGCCAAGAAGGCTCCTAAGAAGGCTGCGGCTCCTCCTAAAAAGGCTGCGGCTCGTCCTAAGAAGGCTGCGGCTCCTCCTAAAAAGGCTGCGGCTCCTCCTAAGAAGGCTGCGGCTCCTAAACAGCAAGCTCAGAAAAAACCGTCGGCTAGTCCTGCTCGAGGTGGAAAGAAGAAGTGATGCGTTGATTTAATACCGTATCAAATCCTCTAAGAACTAGTGGATAAGGGAAATTACTTGAGCAATATGACGTGTGAAAGAGTCTAGCTTTTGGACACACCGATTACAACAGCCAACAACATATTATTTCCATATATTTTTTACTACTATTTGAATTTTATCCGTTTTCCTGTGCTTTCATATCCTCTTTGTTTTTCTCTTATCATCTTGTTGCATTCTATATTCTTTATTAGACATAGTACCCAACGCCTTGTTTATCCGCGTCCTTTTTTTCCTCAGTTCTCATCCATTGTATTATTTCTTTTCTACTCATCCTCCTTTTTTCTTGTTTGAGTACGTCCTCTTGATGTAAAGCGCACTTTTTACACCTAGTCAATGGATACGAAAAGAATATTTTAAACCACAATTTTGAGATCCATTTCCTCTATTGCTTGATTATTTCATCCTTTGTCTCGTAGCAACGGAAATGGATCCTATACCTTGGGGTATATGTTCTAAGTTTGAGAGAGGAAAGAAGGAGAAGGTGCTGACGACCTCCCAGCGTGTCGTGTGTTCATTTTGGTGTTTATTTGGTTTGATTTTAGCTGGAGCAACATTTAACCCTTGCAGGCAAGAGCGGCAAAAACCCAGGTCCCCCAAGAGGCCATCCACGACCTCCACGGCTATCCGCCGCATCCACATTTACATCCAAATCTACCCCGTCCCTAAGAAGACTGCCTTCATCGCTGAGCAATAAGCAGTCCACTTGGTTCCACACAGTCTAGAAGTCCTACAAAGACACAACTCCCAACCTGCGCAAGCTCATTAATTCATACCTTGTCTTACGTGATGCTCACGAACGTCACATTGTTCCGTTATGAGCTTATCGCGGGGACGTTTCCTTATGTGTACCTAACTTGTTTTCGTCGGTGAAAAAAAAGCTAGGTTCCTTCCGCTTGTTTTTATGAAGGATCAAGAGTGAACTTCCAACGGTTTTGAGGACCGCGTATAAAAACCTACCCATTCTTCCACATTATTGACTTTTAGTTCCTCTTGAGAGCATTGAAGATAACGCACCTTTTCGTCATTTCGCCAGAAAGATAGTACAGCTGATTTTAAGGGACTCTCGCCGGAATTCTTTTTCTTTTCTTCGTTTCATGATCTGTTCATTTCATTTTAACATAACTTTGTTTCTCTTTAAGGATATTTTATTTTATTTTTCATACCAGTACATATGCCGAATTCGTATTATTCTCGTTCCTTCTTTCTTCGATGAAGCCGTGCTGCATGGCCGTTTCGATATTTTTTTCTTCTCCTCTAATCGGCCTCTCGTTGACGAGCTAATTTTCGTAGAGCCTTTGCATGTTTAACTCTTATCTCTTTATTTCTTTCATCTTTTCCAGACTTACGCGTAATCCTAACTTTACTTAAGTATTACCTTTATCTGTGAGATTTAGTTGCTCCGTTTGTGTGTTCTATAAGACCTTTGTTCCAACTCTTCCTCCATATGGTGATGAAGGGAAGAATGCTTACGTTTGTTAAAAGGTAGGTGTTGCATGGCATGCCCAATTATTCTGCATATCATCGCCTCCATCGCAACTGCAGACATCAGAAGTAGCCAAAGCAAAAAAATTAAAAATCATATATTCAATGGTCAAACCCAAACCCTCCCAACACCACACGCACCACCACCATTCGCATCTCCCTTATCGTTATCCCGAATCTGATCATGGCTTCACCCATTCCATCCATCCCTCCACGTCCAATACCTACAGACCTCAGGTGCCATCGCATGGCCAACCGCAAGGCAGCAGCAGCTCAGCTACACACAGCAGGTTGATATGCAAGGCCTCCTTGTCGACAAGACGCTGGATGCGCAGTCAGAGTTAGTGAGGGTGACGCAGCAGGCTGCTAGTGCGGCGATATTGGCCCACGGTTTGCGCAACAGGCTGGAGAACAAACTAAACAGTACTGACCAAAAACTCGATAACGTCAACTTGGAATTCGAGAGAGCCGACAAGAAAGCAACTCACCTCATCCAACTAAACAACCGCCCCTTCTTCATTAATGTTGGATTGAAAGTCGCAAAAGCCTCAGAAGCTACGAATTGCAACGACAACCTCGGCAACAAGGCGCGCAAACCACGTCCGGCTCCACGTCCTTCCCTTCCTTATAGTACTTCTGGTTAGATCTAGGCGGTGACGCTCCGCCTCCCCAAGAAACCCTTGGCGCGCCAGATCAAGTCATGAACCTTTTCCATAGTAGATTAAAGCAAAAGTTGGACCCGAGAAGAGCAAGAACGGTCAAAGGGTTATGAGCGGGGGATTGATGAAAGGTTGGATCAGTCAGATCTGCGTTGGATAGTATGAAGTTTTCGGGGTTGGCGATTGGGCAGGAGACGCAAAGGCAAAATGAGCACTTGATCAGCCAAATGTGAACAGCAAGGCTTAAGGCTAAAGATACAACGAAAATCACTGTTGATAGTATATATAACTTCTTAAATATCACGTGATATCAACACATCCCAGTTAGTATAGTGGCTAGTATCCGACCCTGTCACGGTTGAGACCCGGGTTCAATTCCCGGACTGGGAGCTCGTGTGGCAACGCACACCTTCAACAGAACTCATAGCTCAGTGGTAGAGCGGCAGATTGCAGACCTGCAGGTCACCGGATCAACCCCGGTTGGGTTCTTTTAGGTTTCATAGTGTAGTGGTTAGCACATCGGTTTTTGATACCGGTAACCCGAGTTCGAATCTCGGTGAGACCTTTATAACTCTCGGATAGTGTAGTGGTTATCACGTATCCTTCACATGCTCATGAGTAATCGTGAGCTGAGATCGGATAAGGCCCCGGGTTCAATCCCCGGTCTGAGAATTAAGCCTTTTTTAACTCGTACAGAAATCCTTTTTTCCTGCAACCTACTGAGCTCCGCCGATAAACCTCTTGTATACGATCATGTAAAAGTTGATATCCTCTTAACCTCTGGATGCGGTCATAAGCAAATGGTTGAACACAAAGATCACGATAATGCTTGACGCGAGAAAACGCTACAAATGAAATGCCGATCGTCTTCTCAACAATGTCACCGATATCAACAACATCCTTGGACAATGTCTGCCCTTGCGACTTATGAATTGTCATCGCGTAGGCAAGCCGCAGCGGGAATTGCGTTCTATGGCACTTGTAATGTCAAGGAACGGGTGCCGTGACAGGTAAGCCTGACTCGCTGTGCTGGGACCGCTTTTAGGACGGTGGAGGTGGCGAGATGGGATCAAACTATGTATAGGGGCGATGAACGCGCGTAGTGAATAAAGAACGTATTTATTGCAAAACCGCCTTTACAAAGTGTACCCTCTCGAGACGTCCTCTAAAACAGGTAAAATTCCCCCTTCCTCCCCCTAGACACATCCAGGAAACCGCTCAACAAACAAGCACCCCGTTCCTAGCGTCACCAGAAGACAAAAGGTATTTCCAAGAAAAGACACTCCCTCCTAAGACACTCTCCAAGCGCAGACACGGAAATACTAACTTCTTGTCCACTATGGGCCCTCTCGTTACGCGTCACGCTACAATACACGCGTTACAGACGCGTCGTCGCGTGAAGACACGTTACGAAAACCCCCCAAAACGCGCCTAACACCCTATAGACACGCCCATCCCTTCACATCTGATGAACCCCTCTCAGCCCTACTAAAAATTATTTTGGATTTTTTGACCACTTTTCGGACAACTTGAGTTAAGACCGCAGTCTCAAATTTAACCCAAGTTGTCCAAAATGCATAATTAAAATCCTGGAACGTGCGCAAATTTGTCTTTGTATAAAAAAACGAAAAAAGTTAAAAAGATATTGCAATGTAATTATCCTATTAAAATGTAAATATTATCTCAAAATACAGAAAAATCGAATATAATAATACTAAAATGTAAGGAAATATTTGAGGCTAGGCAAGAATTTTTATTTGATTTGTAATACAAACAAATATAGAAAGGGGATAATCTAGGCCATGCTGCTTCGAGCCCGCTTGTTGGCCTTGATCGTCTGTCCAGCAATCTGGAAAGACAATCCCACCGCAAAGGGATACTGAACCTCCGACAGACCTTCAGCCTTGGCGGAGCGCATTTTGCTGGTAGTGTATATTTTCCGCTCCAGTTGGCAGGTAGAATCAATAGGCTCGGGTAAAGCAAACGAATATTTAAAGTTGTCCACAGTGCGGTCATCTGGGAAATAACGGTGGACAGCCGCACAAATGGGTTATACGGGCATTATGGTTGGAGGGTTATGCCATTTATCTCCTAAGTGAACGATTTTAACATAAATAATATCAGCTTCATGCATTAAACTATCGTTCTCTATAAATGCTTTTATTGAGGTCACTAATATCTCGCCAACACCTTTTCTCAGGTATAATGCCGCATAGGGGGTTTGAACCCCTACTGAAGCAATTACTCAAACAGGATGGAGAAGGTGGTCATGCCGCAGACGACAGGAACTGAACAGTAGAGGGCTTAAACCTCTTTCTGCTCCATAAGAGTGATGAAGGAGTCGTCATGATGGGAAGGGGAGGAGTAGGACGAGAATGCTGGTCATAAAACAATTAATAGAAAGTCACTAATTAAAGGGTTAGTCCCAAATCAATTAATGAAAAAATCACTAATTAAATTGGGACCACTGGTCCCAAATCAATTAATGAAAAAATCACTAATTAAATTGGGACCACTGGTCCCAAATCAATTAATGAAAAAATCACTAACTAAATTGGGACCATCCGTCCCAAATCAATTAATAAATAAATCACCAATTAAATGCGACAACAGCGGACAACAACTAACCCATAAAGCGCTGGGGTGAAGTGTAGAAAAAGCAAGTGAGAGGAATTGAACCCCTCAAAAAGCATGATAGTTTGTTGTGTAAAGTAAAGGAAATGTTGGAAACTACCCACCAAAATGCTGCAAGGGTGTGAAGAAGTCCCGAGGAAACAGTGAAGAGCATAAATAGTTCAAGGGATCAGGGAAGAATAGTGTTGAGGAGGGGAAGGGAGGGGAAGATTAATGATATAGATGGTAGGGGTGATAAGTGAGAAGATATGAAAGAACATAAGAGAAAACACATAAGAGAAGTGCAGAAAACTGAGCGCATTGAAAAATGTAAGTGCGATAGCCATTAGCATCCTCAACATCCATTCATCATACCTAATTACCTCCTCCTGATCTTCATCAACGCATCATATCCATCATGTGGTACTGGGCTCAATGGATTATCACCATCAAGATCCATCCAGAGAGTGCATAGGTGTTTTAGGGATATCAATGAGTTGAGGGTAGAGGTTAGATAGGGTTTTATACCGGGAAGGAACAATGGTTGAGTGCTTGTGTCTGCTACAAAGAGTGTTGATGGAGGGGTGGAGGGAAAGTGTTAAGCAACAGCAGGAGATGGGACGGCAACAGAGTGGGAGGCAACGGCAATTATGGGGTCATCCTTTTGGCTGTTGTAGTGAAAAGTGAAAATCAACAAAAAAGAGGGGGAAGTGTGGCTGCTTATGTGAAATCCTCACATTGAGAAAAAATTTATTATTTTTCCAATTTCTTTGAAAATAATAAATTTTGATTGGTTAGATTTCTTTTGATTTCCATTGTTTAATTTATACTCTATATATGGCTTGTTTTGCCGCCAAACCCTGAAAATCCA